CTAAACATATTACTTCAACTACAGACAAACTGAATAACCCTGAACACAACTTGTGATTTCCTGATTCTTTTCAGACTGAATTCTGTCCTCTCCATGCCTCGATATGCCTATGAAAACTCTACTCCACTCATTCATCCAGTATGTATCCAGGGAGCAGCTATATTCCAGGCACAGAGGGAGGTAAGTGGTCCATGCACCCACAGGGCTGACAGTAAGCAGGGCGCTATAAATGTGAAAGTATTGACGAATGTGAAATGCTTACAAAGGGGAAACAATGAATTACTGGATCACACACTAGAACAGAGGTTCTCAAATCTGTGGGTCACGACCCCTTTGGGGGTCAAATGACCCTTTCACAGGGGTCGCCTAAGACCATCGGAAAACATATATATAATTACATATTGTTTTGTGATTAATCACTATGCTTTAATTATGTTCAATTTGTAACAATGAAATTAGGGGTCACCACAACATGAGGACCTGTATTAAAGGGTTGCAGCATTAGGAAGGTTGAGAACCACTGAAAGACCTTACCCTAGTTAACAGGGTCTGGGCAAGTCTCCCAGAGAAAAAGATGTTTAATCTAAGTACCAAAGGATAAAAAGGAGCTATGAGGTGAAAAATAAGGGTAAACTTTTCTTAGGTGGAAAGACAGCATGCTGAGGGCAGTGAGGAGAGAAACTGTTTGGAAATCTCAAAGAAGTGGAAGGCAAGCAATTCGGCTGTGGCAGAGAGAACGCAAGGCAGCGCGGCCTGTGACCTGGGCGGGAAGAAGACAGCAGACTGCGGATGGCAGTGTACCCCAGGTCAAAGGTCAGAGTGAGAATGTATCCCGTGCCTGCTATGTGCCAGGTGACTGGGCACTGAAGGAACTTAAGGCATGTCTGCTAGCCCTCCAGAAACTCCAGTTCTTCAGTGGAGACTGACAGGTAGACCTGTAGTGGGATAAGAGTCAAACAAGATATATGTTCAAGGTGTTCAGAAAAAGAATTATTAACCTTTTCTGGCAGTTTGGGGAAAACTTCCCAGAAGAAGTAATGCCTAAGTAGGGATTTGAAAAATGAGTATGAGGTCCCAAGCTGACAATGGCTTATCAGGCAAGGGACCAGCATGTGAAAAATTACAGGGATGTGAAAAAACATCATGACTTTCCCATGAAAGAGCTCCTTGGTAGCCCAGAGAAGAAAGCAGCCTCTTGTTCCTCAGAATTTAGGGTCTCTGCACCATGATGGAGCTAGTCTACAGGGTGATAAAGTGCTTGAAGGAAAAGGCCTCACCCTCATTTTAAAAAAATCACCAATGGAGCTTATCCCAGTGCTCTGCTTAGAGAGGGCACTCAGTATCAGTACATATGTATTTGTAAAAGAGATAACTATTTACTGAATTAAAAGTACCCAAGTGATCTCTTACATATAGATAGAGTAAAAGAGGAAAATATACTTTAACATACTTTGCAAGAGCTGGGAAGAAGATTACCTATGAAGAAAGGGCTGGCCAGTGAAATCCCTGACTCTCAAAGTTCAATTGGTGGGGAAAGGCTTCAGACTGAGGAGCCTGGGCCTCCCTTGTGAAAGAAGGCAAGAGAAATGGGTGAGAATGACACAACACTTAAAGGACTCACAATTAAAAATGTACAAGATTGAAAATATTTATTATTTTAAAAAAATGGTTTGTCTACTATTACTGAGATAATCAAGGATTTGGCAGAGTTGATATCATACAGGCAGAGAAAAGAGAATTTAATAGTTCATCTCTTCCCCTCCTTCCTCTATCTGATTGAGTTTTTAAGAAATCATTTAAATTAACTTCAAAAATGTTCTTGTGGATATTACTAAACTCTGTCCATACCAATGAATTCCAATGATACCATTGTTTCCATGGTAACTAATGCACTTCAAAAGGAGAAAAAATAGAGAGTGAAACTAAAAACCAGGAAAAATGGAATAAAGTGGTATAAACAAAGCATAACATTTCTCCTTTGCACTTACAGAACACTCTCTAATTTCAAATGCTTTACCATTACTTAGACTCCAAGGCTCACTGGTGCCAGAAGAATCCACATCCCACTTACAGCAGGGATTCCCTATAAAATGTGGTGCTCCATGTTTGTCCAACTGCTTACAGGGCTCACTGCTGGAAAGTTCTTTCTCAATTACAAAGATTATTGAGCACCTATTATCTTCTGCTAGTTTAAGAGATGATTAGTCTACATTATTTTAAAATTTTTGCTGTTTAGAGGCCAAATAATTTAAACAAAGGGGTGAAAAAAGAACTGTACAATAAAGATACAGGACACTGTCAAAAAAGCCAACTTGGAGGGCTTATGCATTTCTAATGATTTTCATTTCCCCTCCACTTCAGCCCCATGCGTCCATGACCAACCACATGGACCTTCTCCTGATCCAGAACTGTTCCTACTCTGCAAACTCCAACTCCAACATTAACCTTCTGATCACAAACAACTTTTCCAGTCCCTAACGAATCCACCACTAGTCCTATGCGCCTCATGCAGCCTAAGATCCTTCCCTTGGAATAAATACTTCCTCACGATACTTCCTTGCTGATATCCGCAAGTTTTATCCTCGGCAGCACTCACTCAGCAGCAGCCTAACCTGGACTTAGTGACCATCCATTCGCTTCCCCACCGTTATGTTCCATAAGGATTCTCTGTCCCATCTTCTGAAGAATCTGTCCTACAGCCTAGAGAAGAATCTGTCCGAACAATTATGAGATTATTTACCGCTTTACTTATAGGGTGGTAAGTATCAAATGCTGCAGGTTAAATGAAAATAACATAGGGACTGAAAGCCAATTTAGCAATGATGGTCATTAGACTCGCAACTAGCAAAGTGCATGTAGGGCCGGCCCTAGAGCCATAGTTGCCTCAGGTGACGGCATGAGTTGCAATGGTCTCTTGCTATGCATACATAATGACAATTTACCGGAGGTGAGGAATAGAAAAAAGCTCTTGCTTCTGCTCTTTTGAAAACGTTTCCCTTAAGTATTTCCTGATGTTTTTGAGTTCTACATAAGCCCCCGCCCTTAACTTAAAAGAATGAGAAGTTAAGCATTCACGCATATGCTGGTAGCACAGCTGTTATTCTGACCTTGAAGTGGCACTAACAGACCACTGGTCCTGTTATTTAATTTCTGCCAGAAAGAAGGATTATGGATTGCTTAGTCTCATAATTTTTGGTAGACAGCCTGCTCCCTAACTCTTTGCTGATTTATATTTTAAAATACCATATCAGTAACCTTATTTAGCTATCTGGGTAGGCATTCCTTGTATCAGTCTATCTTGGAGGGCATAACAGGAAGTCACATTGCTTAAACTAAGTGCTTCACTGAGCAGTTTTCAGTCTGAGGTGGGCATTAGGTTATCATTGCTTTATAATGTTTCCAATCTACAATTCATGTTAAGGGTTTTATCATTCATTTATCCACATATAAAAGCTATCTCTAAAACACTTTCGGATCACAATTGTACCCCTGCTAGTGAGAACACCCTCAGGTCACCTGGAAGGTAAGCATGCAGGCACCATCCTTATGAGTCTCCTCAGTTTTCTTAAGAGCATGTTGGTCCAATCCAGAGCTCAGGGCTTGTTAACACACACAGCTGTGTGCTAATTGGCACACAAGAAGAGGTACTTGTCGAAGAGGATCATCTCAACTCCACTACTCTACTATTTTGTACTTTTCAGAAGCTCTCCTGAGAGAAAAACATTTATGAAAGCTTCCCTGAGAGTCTCTTCATTCTACTACATCACTGGGTCTTGTGCCATATCATAGTCTCCTTGAATAACTTAGCAAAAGTTATGAATTCTCTCCATACCAAACAGGCACAAAGTGAGAATACAATTTGGGGAGGTAGGAGGGGGAGGGTAGAGAATCATGAGACCCCTGAAGTTAATGCATGGGCTGAGTCTAAAAAGCGCTGCTCTGTAAACTCTAAGGCCTCTCCCTGAATGAAGCACGGGCGCTAGAGCGCCGCATGGATGGCAGCATCACTGCTCTGTACTGAAATGCCCACTCCAGCGGGCACTTGCGAAGTCCACCTGCTTTGGTGGAGGCACACAGGAGGAAGGCACGGGCTTGTGCCTATATATAAGAGGATTCTTTTTTCTGAGAATCTCGGGGAGACTTCCGCCTCTCTAATCTCAGCTCTGCTACTCTTGAGCATCAAGCTCTTTTTAACCTTGTGGGAAAAGTTTTATAACAGTCTTATGTATCTTTCCCTGTGGCTGCTCAAAAATTAATGGTATATTTCTAGCATGTACTTAAGTCCCACTTCTGACTCCACTTGATTTTAATTGTCGTTTTCTTTATTTTCATTATAGTTTTAAGTTGTTCTAGTTTGCCATGTTGTCTAGGTATCCTTTGATACCTTTTAGAAGACTGTGAGCTATAAATGAGTTAAATTATAGGACACAGAAGGAAAAAAGACATCGTTTTCACCTGCATTCCTACTGGTTATCTATTCAAGTGTATCTACCTAAATAATTTCCTAAAATATTCTTATACTTTTTTGGGGGTTGGAGGGTGTCAGTGAGAGCTGCATTTGAGAGAGGTAGTACTTCTTCAGAAAACTCATATTGGAAGGACATTTTTGAAGTCTCCTTGATTAACATAATGTGTATATATGTTTGCACCTATATGTGTGTTTTAAAGTAACCATAAAGCCCTGCTGGTGTGGCTGAGTGTCGACCTATGAACCAGGAGGTCATGGTTCTATTCCCGGTCAGGGCATATGCCCGGGCTGTGGGCTTGATCCCAAGGGTCAGGAGTGCAGGAGGCAGCTGATCAATGATCTCTCTCTCCCTTTCCCTTCCTCTCTGAAATCAATAATACATATATATTAATAAAGTAACCATAAAGATGAAGTAGGGTTTTCATATAAACTGCACAGAACTAAATTAAAACTTGTGTTGTATTTCTCAGTGACTTGTTTCTTCAGTTAGAAGTGTCTTGTATTTCTGCAACAATGAAGCATAAATGCTTACAGGCACGTGAACTTTTCGAAACATCTCAGCACCCTTGTGTGCATCCATCAATGCAATGTCCTGGGGCGTGGAGACAATCACAGCACCTAACCAAAAGGAAACAAAAGAACAGCAAAATAATGCTATCATTTAATTCTTTCCCGAAAGTTTACTTCCAAAATTAGGTTGCTTACATATTAAAAGAGTCTACTTCATTAATTATTTATATGTAATTTGTATAAATTTACCATACATGAATGGGAAAGATTAGGAAATGTCTACTTTGCTCTTGCTTATTTTTGACTCCTCACTTCTAAAATTATAACTGACTGACTAGTGATTCAAGATCACAGCTACCATGAGAGACTCCTTCCCATTCAGACAATATGCTGTAAGGAAGATGCACAGGCTGGCGTACTTTCAAGAAGCTAATAAGTCTACTTAGGGAGACCCAAAAATTAAGGATTGCAACACAATTGCTAAGCATTGTAACAGAGATATGCCAACGGTGTTATGGAGTTTTAAAGGAGGAAGGAAGGAAAAAATAACTAATTCAATCTAGGGGAGAGAAGGAGCAAGGTGATAATGGATGGGGTGAGAGGTAGGAGATAAGGAGAAACAATAAAGGAAAGTTTCCAGAAAGAGGTGATTTTGAGGCTCCATTCTAGAAGTTTGTATTATAGAAAACTCAACAGTGTGGAACACACTGGAGAATAATTTGGTGGAGGCAAAACTACGTGCTGAGCAAAAATTCAGATGCAAAATAGTGGTGGCCTGACCAAAGCAGCACTGAAAGCAGGTGAAGACGGAGGCTTTCCTGGGTCTGCACTATTACCCCACAGAGGGCAGATGGTTCTATGACAGTGTTTGGAGATAAAGTGCAGTGTAATTTTTTTTAAGTGGAAACACCAGAGTCCTGGCTCTAGAGACTATGAATTTCTTAAATTTTGTGCTTTCTTCTAGAAGATAACCTGAAAAAGAATTAACACAAGCATATTCAAGAGCACCAGGATAGCCATCCTATCTAATAAAAGAGAAACATGGTAATTAGCGTACGACCACTACCCTTCCCATTGGCTAATCAGGGCAATATGCAAATTAACTGCCAGCCAAGATGGCGGCCGGCAGCCAGGCAGCTTAAAGTGAACATGAGGCATGCTTGCTTCAGTGACAGAGGACTGCAACGTTCCCCGCCTGCCGCTGCAGGCCTCTGAGCTGCAACTCTAAGCAACTATGTTACAAAAATAGAAGCTAAACAAAACCCCAGAAACCTGCTTTAGTCGCCCGGCTTCAGCCAGCAGGATCGCAACATTATTTCAAATACAGAAGGTAAACAAAGGCCAGAAACCTGCTTTCAGCAGCGGAGGCCTAAGAGCTGGAGCCAAGCCTCAGAGCTAAAGCTGGCCCAGAATTAAAAAAGAAAAAAAAAGAAAAAAAGGAGCAGTTGGGAGCTTCAGTCACTCGCCAGCCTGAAAATAGCCCTCAGCCCCTCACCCAGACTGGCCAGGCACCCCCGTGGGGACCCCCACCCTGATCCAGGACACCCTTCAGGGAAAACCAGCCAGCCCCAACCCGTGCATCAGACCTCTATCCTATATAGTAAAAGGGTAATATGCCTCCCAGCACCGGGATCAGCGGAGCCGAGAGGCCTCCCGGCACCGGGATCAGTGTGACAGGGGGCAGCGCCCAAACCCCCTGATCACCCTGCGGCTCTGTGTGTGACAGGGGGTGGGGCCACAACCCCCTGATCAGCCCTGCTCTGTGCCTGATAGGGGGAGCTCCCCAACCCCATGATCGCCCTGCGGCTCTGTGTGTGACAGGGTGTGGTGCCCCAACCCCCTGATTGGCCCTGCTCTGTGTGTGACAGGGGGCAGCGCCCCAACCCCCTGATTGGCCCTGCTCTGTGTGTGACGGGGTAGAGCCATAACCTCCCCATTGGCCCTGCCCTGAGTGTGAGAGTGGCAGCGCCCCAACCCCCTGATCGGCCCTGCTCTGTGGGTGATAGAGGGCGGCGCCCCAACCCCCACCCCACGGGCCCTGCTCTGTGTGTGATAGGGTAGAGCCATAACCTCCGCATCGGCCCTGCCCTGAGTGTGACAGTGGCGGTGCCCCAACCCCCTGATCGGCCCTGCTCTGTGCGTGACAGGGTACGGAGCCCCAGCCCCCCTGATGGGCCCTGCTCTGCACGTGACAGGGGGCGGCACCCCAACTCCCCAATCGGCCCTGCTCTGAGCCCAACCAGGGGCTGTACCTAGGGATTGGGCCTGCCCTCTGCCACCCGGGAGCAGGCCTAAGCCAGCAGGTCGTTATCTCCCGAAGGGCCGGGCTGAGGGACTCCCCCCCCCCCAAGTGCACAAATTTTTGTGCACCGGGCCTCTAGTCATTTTATAACTAAGTACACAGCCATGACGTCTCAGAGCCCCAAACCAGCTCCAAGTGGCAGTACTTCATCATAACTAATGAAAACAGAGGTGGGATTAACAATAAACATCTGAGTGCACCAAGCAAAAGTCAAATGACACTAGACTACTGTCTGAAGGGATATTTCACAGAAGTCAGAACAGAGAAATGTGGCAACAGAACCAAGTTATCATGAAGCACGTGGCAACATAGGCATGCCAAACTCAAAAGAACTGTGCAATGGCCACAAATTCATCTTGCAATCGATATTTTCATTTCAGTAAAAACTTCATCTTTCACATTAAATTAATATCAATTTGAATTTTATTGATTTTGTATGTTTTACTTGTATTTCATTTGTAGTTCTTTTTAAGTTTCAAAAAATATAAGAGCTACAAATTTAAGGAATTTATGTTTACACGTAGTTAAATAGTCTTATAATAAAAATAAGTCAATATGGGATGAAGCAGATATTTTTCCTTTAGAAGGAGGGTCTATTCATTACTCAAGTTAGAGAAACACAGCCTTGGAATTCAAACATAATCAGAATTCAACTTTTTATTCCATAGCCAACTACCAGTGTGACTAGGACAAGAAACTGAGATTCAGTCTTTTTATCTACAAAACAACATAGTAATACTTTGGTCACAGGGTGAAATAATTAAATGAACTACTGATGTACATCAGATGCTTGACATGGTGCCTGGACAAAGGGTAAACATTCAATAAATGGTAGCTGTTGTTAATAATATCACCGTTATTATCTTTATTATTGTTACCAATAAAATGTCTTACAAGTTGCTGAGAAAGTTATTTTCATATTTGCCATCAAGCAGCTCATCCTACTTTTCAAACTGTTCCATGGATCACTAAATCCTTCTGTTTTGATTTGCTATGCCCAAGAAACCAAAAACTAGTCAAAGTTATCTTTCCATTCTTTTAAAGATGGATGGAAATGCATCTCTGTAAAAATTGTACATAAGTCTACTCTACACATCTATTATATTTCCACAATTCCCCACCTTCTAGATTCTGTTACCAATCTACTTCAGCGTTTTTCCATATCCAGGCATTTGGAAGGGACCTAACTCCAATTCTACCCCCTCTGGCTGTGTGACTAACCTTGGGCAAGTGACTCAGAACCACTCCAGGTCTCAGTTTCCTGAGCTGTGAAATTAATGCAAGGACTACACAGTCTCCAAGGTCTCAGCTGGCTCTCTAACTGTATGATCTAACATCCCGTCTTAACTATGGTTTCCAAGACCATCCCTGTTCAATCGGACTGCCTCAGTAAACTTACTGAAGTGAATGTGAAATGCAACCTCTCCCAAGAATTATGGCTCTTTAATCTAACAGCCATTCTCTTTACATGTAAATGAAACCCCCTAGGCTATTTCCTCCAAATTCTCTCCTTAACTATATATTAGTATATAGGGAATTTTCTATTGCATTGGCCCCAAAAAGCTATTTGTATTACTGCTACACAACATAGTTTCATGATGATATGAGTTTTCTCATTTTTTTTAACCAAACAAAACTAATGACACAATGACTTGCACAAATCGGGCACTTTATAGAGGATTGGATATTTAAACAATGTCCCTATATTTTCAAATCATCTGTCCTAGGTCACTGCTGCATGAACTCTTAGTTATTGACTCCTTAAACTAGAAGTCAAGAGTTCTGGATTCTGGTTTTGTTGACTATGCTAATCTATATAATAAAAGCCTAAGCAACCATTATGGCAGAACGACCAGAACGACTGGTCGCTATAATGCACACTGACCACCAAGGGGTAGATGCTCACACAGGAGCTGCCCCTGGTGGTCAGTGTGCTCCCATGGCTGGCGAGCACAGAGGCGGTGGCAGAGCCTCTCCCATCTCCGCAGCAGCGCTAAGAAGCAGCGAGCAGGCAGGCAGTAAGGAGTGAGAGGTACTGGACTGCAAGAGGGATGTCCAACTGCCAGCTTAGGCCCAAACCCTGCAGGGAGTGGGCCCAAGCTGGCAGGTGGACATACCCTGAGGGATCCCAGGCTGCAAGAGGGCACAGGCCGGGCTGAAGGACTCCCCTCCTCCAGTGCACAAATTTCATGCACCGGGCCTTTAGTATACTATATAATCTTAAATAGCTCACTAAATCCCAATATATCAGAATTAATTCTTCTATATAACAAGCCTGTTTCCATTAGCCTTCATTAATTTAAAGAGCTGATCCATTAAAAATATGTAAAAATGGTCCATCCAGTTTGAGCACTGACCAATGAACCAGAAGGTCACAGTTTGATTCCCAGTCAGGACACATGCCTGGGTTGTGGGCTCCAGTCCCAATAAGGAGCGTGCAGGAGGCAGCCAATCAATGGTTGTCATCATTGATGTTTCTATTCCTTTCTCCGTCTCACTTTCTCTCTCTAAAATCAATAAAAACATTTTTAAAAATATGTAAAAGTTGCCCTAACCAGTTTGGCTCAGTGGATAGAGCATTGGCCTGCAGACTGAAGGTTCTCAGGTTCGAATCCAGTCAAGGGCATGTACCTTGGTTGCGGGCACACCCCCTACTAGGGGTGTGCAGGAGGCAGCTGATTGATGTTTCTTTCTCAACGATGTTTCTAACTCTCTATCCCTCTCCCTTCCTCACTGTAAAAAAATCAATAAAATATATTTTAAAAAATATGTAAAAGTGATATAAAAATGTTTGGTGTCTTTATTT